GTTGGGGGGGGGTAAATTAAAACACGTGACTCTCAGCGCAGAATACCGGGACGCTTGCTTTTCCAAACCACCGTTTTCTATCGACAAGAGCTCGTATCTTGCCACAGCTTTTTGTACCATGGCGAGTTGCTCGACTTTGAACGATGCTCGGCCGCGGTCGTACACCTCGTGTGCTGACGACGGCTCCCGCACCAGCCGACGGAATGAGAGACGTCCACGACTTTTGCAGGAAACCAACGCGGACAACTCTCCCCTCAACACGGAAGAAGTTAGAAAGTTACGCGCCTCAATTCGGGCAAATATGCTGGCATACTCCAAAGAGCTCTCCGACGCGAGCTACACGGCCCTGGTGCCGAGCAAGTGATGACCTGTCCCCCAGCGCTCGCGATCGCGTGCTCAGCAAGTCGCCGTTCTACACTGACCTCACGATGCCCGCCACCCCCCCACTTCTTGCTAGACCCACACTGGATTTCTGCAGACAAAAACACCTCTCGGCGAGTCCCTGGTTTTCGGGTGCACCCCTCCGCGAGACAGCGGCGCCACCAGGGAAACGTTTTGTGGGAACGCGCTGCCCGAGCCTTGGTGCAACAATATCCTGGTGGTACCAACACATGCATGAGAGTGGCGAGCATGGAATCAAACGCAGGAGGCTGTGATGGGCATTCCTCAATGAACTCTCTACATACCACATTTTTTCACCACGCGCCAATGTATCAGCAACACGTGCGCCCTCTCCAATCCCCCCATGGCCGCCACGCCGACGTACGGGCACAAGAACAAAACGCGGCCTTGCTTGAAGCGTCGCAAGGTGTGCGATGCCTGCCACCCGGTGTACGGAGTACTCCGTCGACGCCCGTGCCGTCCATGGAAAACTGCTAGGGCGGCACACGATGCCAGCGAGAGACCCCGTCAGCTGCGTGCTGTAGCTTGGCGCCAGGAGCAATCTGGACTACGCGGCGTGTGTGGCGCTCGTCGCGGTGCGTGTGGCCTCCGACGGGAATCCGACAGTGGTTTGTCCCGGCTTTTTCTGATAAAGCCTTACATAGAGCGGACTTCGCGCGAAGTGTTCTTCAGCAGATAGATCCATCTTGTGAAGGGACACACTTTTTAGACGAACTTTACCGTTTCGGCGCTCCAGCTATGTGGCCTTTTACCCCGTCGGTAATCATCACGGTCATGTCGTCCAACCCCTTGTTGCGGTCTCTCTCGTGCTTCCAACGGTTGAGGTTATGCGATTCTCTGTACTTGAAATTGGTGTTCACGATGTTTTCCGGGATACCGTTGCTGAAGATATGGATAGCCTCAGAGATCTTCTCGATTAGGTTTTCCGGAATATCGTACAACATGTAGAGTTCTTCTATTCTTGTCGTCCACACATCAACAGCACGCAGTCGGAGAATCCTTGTCATTGCACGCATCCCTGCCAACTTTTGATGTTTGGGCGGGAGATGGGGCTGGGGCAGGTTGGCCGCGCTGGGCCATGGCAATCCTTGGAGCAAAGCCGCGCATGGCATGGATGCATCCAATCGTCAAATTATTACACCCATAACACCAAGAGACAACGAAAGCAACCGCGAGGCAAAGTACGCCAAGAAACAACAGCCCGCTGGTGCCTCCTAAATACCATGCGTGAGCGATCGGTGATAACACGAACAGCCGGGGCCGGGGGGGGGGG